GATTCTTTTCCTACCCTCAGGTGCTTTGGAGAATAGCTTGACTCCCTCTTCTTTGGGGCAGCCCCTCAAATACTGGGACTTTGCTTTCCTGTCTCCCCTGGTCCTTCTTTTCATTAAACTAGACATATCCAGATCCACCTTGATAGCAGCTCCTATCAAGGCCTTATAAAGTGGGATTAACACTTCAGGTGATCTTGAGTCTCTCCCTCTGTTGATGCAGCCTAGAACTGTGTTGGCTTTTGTGCAACCCTTGAGAAAGTTGCTTGGATCCATTTCCGGTTGGAATCTGAGCATGGGGAAGGTCCTTCAGGGATGCCTGGGGATCCGCCTTCCATGGTTATCTGGGAACAGTTTCATCCTGTTGGATCTGATGAAGTGGGCAGGGTCCTTAAAGCCATCAGTGAAACCCCCGGCCACTTAGATTCCTGCCCCTTCTGGAGATAACAGAATGTGAGAATTAGAAGGGACCTTGGAGGTCTTCTAGTCCAACCGCTTGCTCAACCAGGAAGCCATGCCAGACAAATGGTTGTCCAATCTCTTCTTGAAAAGCTCCAGTGATGGAGCAGACACAACCTCTGGTGGCAAGCGGTTCCACTGGTTCATTGTGCTAGCAGACAGGAAATTTCTCCTTCGTTTGAGGTTGGATACTCATCATGTTAGTATCAACCATTTGTCTGAAATGATACAGGGTCTCCTGCTTGAGCAGCGGGATGGACTAGAAGACCTTCAGTGTCCCTCCCAACTCTGTGATTCTGTCCTAGGACTGAGCCCAAGGAGCCGGTTGGAGGTCTGAATTCTCCTCTCCCAGAATCCCCTGAGAGCCTCTCCCTGCTTCTTCCTCCTTCTTTGACATTTGCCTCCTTATCTCCAGCCTTTCAGAGGGATCCCCCCCCTCTCAATTACTCTGGTGTGTCGGGAAAATGGGGCCACCACACCCTGTGCATCTCTCCTAGAAGTAAAACTTCAGATAATCAGAACGGAACTAAATTCTGTGGTGAATGATTACTCAATTTGTGGTTAGGGGTTATCCCCTCTTTCCTCTTTATCAGAGGAACGGACCGTTTCCTCAAGAGGAAAATAGAGTCGAATTTGACTTTAAAAAAGAAAAGAATATTTTATAAAAAAATTCTTTCAGTATATTCTATGCACCATCATCCATGTGAGGTTAGTAGGTCACTTAAACTGCCCAGTCTTCAAACATGCAAAGAGAAAATAGAAATTTAATCACAGCTCTTCCGTTGGCTCACACGATCTCTTTCTTCCTCTCCCCCCTCTCTCTGTCTCTCCCTCTCTTCCCTCCCTCCCTCTTTCTCTTTCTTCCTACCTCCCTCTCTCTGTCTCTCCCCTCCCTCCCTGATCCCTCCCTCTTTCTCTCTCTCCCTCTCTCCCCTCCCTCACTCATCCCTCGCTTTCTTTCCCTCCTGTCTCTCTGTTATAATCCACCCTCCCTCATCCCTCCTTTTCTCTCCCTCCTCTCTCTCTGTCTTGCCCTTCCCTACCATAATCCCGCCCTTTCTTTCCCCCTCTCTCTCCCCTCCCTCCCTCATCCCTCCCTCTTTCTCTCCCTCCCTCTCTGTCTCTCTCCTCCCTCCCTCTTCCTCTCCCTCCCTCTCGCTCTGTCCCTCCCCTCCCTCTTTCTCTCTCTCACACACACACACCCCTGTCTCTCGTTGCTTTTCTNTTTGATACTTTAGATATAAACAGGATTTATCAAACATTGCCTCTTGCAGACTTACAGTACTGTCGACATAGGCTTCAGTCCACACTACATCATGTTCTTGATCAATCACTTTAGGTCGACTGAGCACATGGAGATATTCCATAACATTTTCTTGCACATCAGCTAGAGTAGATATCTGAGTGAAAAACCCTGGATATATTGAGCAGAGAAAGAGAGAAAGAAATGTGGCTATTCATACATAATCAAATGAGAAATACACATAAAAGTTATAAATATCTTTTCTCCCTGTATTGAAAGGAACGGGGTGGAGGTGGAGGGGGGGGATCTAAAGAGGGGAAAAAATTGACCAAGGAAGAAGCCCTGTCAAGTTTTAATTTGTGAAAGCACTAGTCTGTGAAATGATATGTCAGTCCAGAACGGCTCCATTCCTCTGAGTGTTCTACACCATTGCACAGCTGTCTTGACTTTTATTCCTTCAGTTCCAAGTCAATTTTTTTCAGCCTCAGGAGAAAGCAAAAAAAGGAGGGAGTTTGTTTTTAAAGATAAATGCTTATGGCAGAGTTCTATTAACTTTTACGCCACAACCTTTGCAACTGCCAAGTATCACAAATATGAGGGTGATATTTTTAGCTTTATCAAATTCTATCTCTAACATTCTATACCTTAATCAGAGTTTTAGTGCTTTCCGGCAGAGTGTCCTAATGTATTTCTTACATAGTCCCGTTATCCCTGCAAGAACTTCATCTACCAGAGTGTTATAATCTATTTCTTACATAGTCCAATTCTCCATGCAAGAACCTAATCTATGGCAGCATGAAGTCCTGTGTACACATCCACATAACCACACACTTCATTCCTCAGGCCATCGTGAAGTATTGGAAAACAATCCATGTCTTATTTTATGATGACTTGATATATCAAGAATAAAGGAAATTTGCTTCAACAAATAATGTTTCACATTACTGAAAGTGCTTGAGTATGAAACAAAGGAGGTAAAATGTCCAATTCAAAATCATCATGGAATTTGCGTCTTTTGCAGATTCAAGCATTTTATTCATTTCCCAAGTTTAGTTTTCTGCCATAGAACGGATTGTCTACTTTTGAACTTTCCTGAAAAAATGAAACTCAAACTTAGGAATCATAGGGTAGATACAATGCAGCTTAAAAGTTATCTGCATGTTTCAAAATTTCAAATAGCTGCTTTTTCTCAGGTGGCATTCAACTCCTTCTACTCCGAAGATGTTAATTAATGCATTAACTTAAAATATCATGAACTACAAGGACTCTCAGCAATTTTGAAGAATGCATAAATATCAATAATAAAATCAGAAACAATCAAAGCCAACAATATTAGCAGTCTCTTTTCAAAATGCATTTAAGGTCTTTTTAAAAGCCAACAATAGACCCTCAACTCAGCAGGAAGCACACAGCAAAGAATGGGGGCATCTTCTTAGCTCAGAGTCACTTCAAGACAAACCCATGGCAAGTGCAGGTGAACTTCTTTAATGTCAGGGAGGGAAGTCAGAAAATCATAAGGAGAAGGGTGTTTTCTTAAATAACTTAAATCTAAGTTATATAGGGATTAAAAGTTTTTGTAAAATATAATTGTACAT